TCCCAGGTTTGATTCTGGTCAAGGGCATGTACCTTGGCTGCGGGCACATCCCTGGTGGGGGGTGTGCAGGAGGCAGCTGATTGATCTCTCTTATTGATGTTTCTAACTCTGTCCCTCTCCCTTCTTCTCTGTAAAAAATCAATAAAATATATTTTTTTAAAAAAGTAACATTCCTTCTGAATTTTGTGTACTTTCTGGCAACGACAGGGTAAAGGTCTCCCATAGAGGGAGAAAGGCACTTACCAATTTCCCACTCAATGTCCTCTATTTCTCGTCTGTGCTTTAAATACATGGGCCACACGTGGCCATCAAAGTACCCTGGGGGGTCTGGAGGTTCATAAACCCTCGTGCTGTCAAAACAGGTGGGAAACTTTGTTGATAGAAACAGACATCAATAAAGTAAAATAATAATGGCCAGGATAATAAAAAAAATCACTGAGATCGAATCTAAACAGGATTAAGACTATACATTTTAGACTCAATGCCAGTTACAAAGACAATAAAATGAATTTAGCTTGCTCATCCAAAAATTAATCTTCTAATTCACTATAATTTATATTAACTTTTCCCCCTCAATTTTTTTAATAAAATAATTAAGAGACAAATATCAATGTAAATAATGATGAAATACTGATATGCAGGATTGAGCTTTAAAGTAATTGGTGTTCTTTGTGGCTAAAGCAGAATATAGGCCAACTAATTTAAAGTCATAATCAACATGGGATTGTTTCATTTAAAAATTTAGGAGAAATCATCCAAATAGCTGCTACAGGGCCTTTTCTTAGAAAAGTAATTTGTATTTGTTCACGTGGATGATTATTTATGGAAAAAGGTTTTCCTTATTATGGAAGAGCTGAGGCTTCCCTTGTTTGAAAAATGACATATACATATTCTCAATAATGTTGCTGTCCTCATTTTTTTTGTAAATTTTGTCTTTTGAATCCACATCTACAAAGGCAATTTCAAAACTTACCTCCTCCTCCTCTTACATTCTTCATATGGAATGGTCACAAAGTATCTTCTATTCCATATAGTCTCAAGGGGCCTAAAATAATAGCATATTCAGTTCACAGGGGTTTCCCTCCCATTCATTCCAAGTCAATATCTGAGTGAGGATGCTTACTTATAATTAAAGAGAAGGAAACCTTCGATGATTAGTATGGGAACGTCCTCAGTGTTTCTCTCTGTTGATACCGGAGAGTGACTCGGGCTTTGCATCCAGCGAGAAATGGTGGACATCATTTTTTCCATGTTAAGCGCTTCAAGCACTTCAAACAACATACAAAAATGAGAAACCAGTACCAAACAAGTGTTATGATGAGGATATGAGTATATTCCGGGCTCGCTAAATATATTAACACTATTTACCCTTCAAAAAACCCAGTAACAAATCTTTTAGATACTTTTAAACTCTAATATTGATAGATGGGTATGTTGGAAACATTTTTATTATGGGACATTTGATACCTATACAAAAGTAGAGAGTGAAGTACAATGAACTTCCATGTCCTCATGAGCAGCTTTGACAATCATAAACTCATGGCGAATCTTGCTTTATTTATAATTTCTACTACTCCCCGACTTCATGAAAGTCTAACATTTTTGGATGAAAAAATATCTACAAATTAGTTTGAAAGATAAATGACACCCTGGGGAAAATATCTACAATGTGTTTGTTAAAGAACGAATATTTTCAATATATAAAGAGCTCTTACAGATAAACAAGAGGAAAACCATTAAAACTTTTACAAAGAACACAAATATGTCATTTTCAAACTCTAACATGAGCATACTTTCCGGGAAATGATTCTGAAAGTGTGGTTCGTTGGCCAGCAGCCTCAGCATGACCTGGGAATTTACGAGGAAGGCGAATTCTGAGTCTCACTCCAGAAGTACTGAATTGGGTCACCTGGGCTTAGAGGTTTTTATTAATTAATCCTTAATTTATTTAATAGATATAGGGCTGCTAAGATTTTCTATTTGTTCTGGTGTTAGTCTCGGTAAGTTACATTTTTCTGGGAAATAGTAAATTTTATTTGTTTTCTAATGTATTCACATAAGTTGTTTATAATACCCTCATCCTTTTAATGTAGGTAGCATCTGTAATGCTATTATCTTTTTTGTTTTTGGTATTTGTAATTTGTGCCTTTTCTGTTTTTTTTTTATTGTTGTTATTGTTATGTTGTTTTTTATTTTTAATCCTAACCTGAGAATATTTTTCCATTGATTTTCAGAGAGAGTGGAAGAGAGAGGGAAAAGACAGAGAGAAATACCCAGGTGAGACACAACGACTGGTAGCCTCCTGCACTTGCCCCATCAGGGCCCAGACTGGTACGTGCCCTTGGCCAGAATCAAGCATACTTTCAGTCCTTTGGGACCCTTCAGTCTGCAGGCTGATGCTCTATCCACTGAGTCAAAACGGCTAGGGCTTTTTTTTCTTGAACAGTGTTGTGCAACCTGTTTGGGGATCACTCAGATTCTTGCATATATAGATTTATGCCCTATGCCAAATTTGAGATGTTTTACACCATTACTTTTGTTTTACATAATTTGTTTTTAAATTAATGAGATAGAGAGAGAGAGAGAGAGAGAGAGAGAGAGAGAGAGAAACATCAATTTGTTGTTAGTGTATTCATTGTTTGCT